CTTGATTCCAACTTTGCAGGAGAAATTTTATATGGAAGGAGTCTTTTACTGCAAGATCAGAGCAATGGGAGGAAGGTTGGTGCTGTTAGAAGGAAATGAATATGAAGACTTAAAGGAGCTGGTCGAAAATGGCAAAGATTGGTTAGGAAATTGGTTCGAAGAAATCAAACCATGGTCACCAAACATGGTGGCAAGGGAGAGGTTCGCATGGATTAGATGCTTGGGATTACCTCCACACGCATGGAAGACGGACTTTTTCCAATCACTCGGAAATCTGTGGGGCACTTTTGTTTCGGTGGATGATAGCACAAGCAAGAAAAAACGCCTTGACGTTGCTCGGTTCCTCTTATCAACGCCCGTAACGGAATCCATTTCAAAATCTTTATCAATAAAGGTTAATGGAATCATTTTTACAGTTAAGTTCTCTGAGGAGGAGTCCAGCGACGGGATGCATGTTATGAATACAGATTTTAAGATTAAAGAAGCTTACGAGGAAGGCGAGGAATCTTCAACGGACGGATCTGTTAGTATAGATTTCAACATGCCTAGAATGGAAGCTACAGAAAATAGAGGATTTGAAGAAGATGATGACGTGGAGATTCAATTAGGAGTGCAGGAGACAAATCAGCAAGAGGCGGAGAGAAATATGGACACGGTGGCATCATCAGAGGGGGACACATCAATTGTTAAGAAGAAGGGTCAACCAAATGGACAAGAAAAGAGCATGTTAGGTTCTGGAGAAGCAGCAGAAGATGAAGATTTGGTGTCAGCGGGAACAGCCGAAAAGCAGCAGAGTTTAGGGAGCGCAACGGGTAGTTTGGAAGGGCTTACAAGCAAGCAATTAATGAGTGATGGGCTCGAGAAGGAAGAAGGACAGGTCCAGCTGGAGACGGAAACATGCAGAGAGAGTATCGGGAACAGCTACAGTTTCAATAATGGGGAAAGGAGAGAGATAAGGGGGGAGAAAATTTCAAAAATAACAACGGACAAAATTGCAAAAGGAAATGGGCCGGGTGGGCTCAATGATGAGATGGATCCAGGTAAGAGTAGTAACGGGCCAATATTGGGTGGGAAAAATCAAGAAGTGCAAAGCCCATATCAGATAAGTAAAGAAACTAAAGAAAAATTAAAAGAGGGTAAGCACGTGAGGCCAGGAGCAACAGAATCAGACCTGTTCTGGGAAGACATGGACAGCGACGCAGGGGACTTACCAGAGTGGGCAAAAGTTCTTGAAGGGAAGAAGAGCAAAAAGAAAAAAAGGAAAGTGAAGCTGTGCCGTTCAGTGTATATGAAATCTAGCGGGCTTGAAGGTGTTCTGGTGCAGAAGAAGAAGAAGAAGAAGGGAACTCAATCGGTGACAGAGAAAATGACGCAGCAAATCATATTCCAGGCTGATCCAGCGGACTCAGTTGCAGGTGACTCCATATATGACAGTAATATACAAAACTGCAACAAGGGGATTAGAGTGAAGAGCAAAATTAAAGACTCCGAAGCTTTATGGAGCTATATCAAGGAGTTGGGAGTTGCAATGAAAGGGGATGAGCTACCAGCAATCCGAAGGCTTGAAGAAATGGAGCATCGAGACAAGGAAAGAAGAAGGAAAGATATGGCAACACCGACAACAAGAAATCAGGTGCTTGCTAATTCCCCATGATTGTGCTATCTTTAAACATTAGGGGGTTGGGGGGATGCGGGAAAAAGAGGGAAATTCATGAGCTGGTGAATAAACATAGACCAGAGGTTTTATTCTTACAAGAAACAAAAGTAGAAAATGTTGATAAAAGTTATTGTAGAAGGTTATGGGATTCAGATGACATGGATTGGGTAGCAAAATCATCCTTGGGTGCCTCGGGCGGTTTAATTATCATATGGAACAGGGCAGTGCTAAAGAAAGTAAGTGTTTTTGAAGGGGAGGGATACATTGGGATCCAGGGGTTATGGGGTGCTGATGCCTTACCATGCTTTCTGTGTAATGTGTATTCCCCATGCGATCTTGAGAGGAAGAGGAGTGTATGGAGAGAACTTGAACAAATGTTTAGGAAAAACAGGGGGTGTTGGTGTCTTGGTGGGGATTTTAATGCTATTAGAAGTTTGCAGGAAAGAAAGGGGGGTAAGAGCGCCAGAAGAGAAGTAAAGGAGTTTGAACAATTTATAGTGAATAACAGCCTGACAGATTTACCATTGCTAGGAAGGAAGTACACATGGTACCAGCCAAATGGACAATGTATGAGTCGTTTGGATAGGTTCTTGTTCAATGATGATTGGATGACAAAATGGCCTGATTTAAAGCAATGGGGACTTGCTAGATCTCTGTCGGATCATTGCCCGATACTGGTAAAAAATGAGACACGGAATTGGGGGCCAAAACCATTCAAGTTCTTCAATGCCTGGCTACATACTCCTGGATTTAGAGAAATGGTTGCAGCAAAATGGAAAGAATTTAAAGTTCAAGGATGGGGAGGTTTCATTGTTAAGGAGAAATTAAAGTTGATGAAGGACTTTCTTAGGGAATGGTCTAAGTCATCTTTGCAAGATGTGGATAGAAAGATCGAGGAGGCCAAAAAGGAGATAAACAGAATCGATAGAAAAGGAGAAACTTGCAGCTTAACAGATGATGAACTCATGACCAGGAGCAAACATTATGCTAAGTTGTGAAAGAATATGCAGCTGAAAGAAGAGATGGCCCAACAAAAAGCGAGAAAGAACTGGTTAAAAACAGGGGATGCAAACACCAGTTATTTCCATAAGAGCATCACAGCAAGATGGCGCAGGAATGAAATTAACATAATATCAGTAGAAGGCAGAGAATTGAAGCAAGTGGATGAGATAAAACAAGGCATAATGGAGTATTTCCAGAAATTATTCACAGATGATGGATGGTCAAGACCAACTCTACAGGGGTTAACTTTCAGAACCATTTCGGACAATGATAGAAGCATGCTTACCCAACCATTCACAGAAGAAGAAGTCAAAGAGGTGGTATGGACCTGTGACAGCACTAAAGCGCCAGGGCCAGATGGTTTTAATTTTGGATTCTTAAAGGCTCAATGGGAGGTGATGAAAGAAGATGTCTTGAAGTTCCTTATGGATTTTCACAAAAATGGAAGACTGGTAAGGGGTTCTAATGCATCATTTATTGTTTTGATACCAAAAAAAGAGAACCCTCAAGGTATCGAGGAGTATAGGCCTATCTCCTTAATTGGTTGCATCTATAAAATCCTTGCTAAATTACTAGCAAATAGACTCAGCAAGGTATTGAATGGAATCATAGGTGAAAATCAATCTGCATTCATTGAGGGAAGACAATTGGTTGATGGGGTGGTAGTGGCGAACGAAGCAATTGACGGAGTGAGGAAAAGGAAATCCCAGTGCTTTGTCTTCAAAATTGACTTTGAAAAGGCATATGACAATGTCAGTTGGTCCTTTCTTGATTACATGATGGAGAAAATGGGTTTTGATGCAGTTTGGAGAAGATGGATCTCAGAGTGTGTGAAGTCCAATACTGTATCTGTTCTAGTAAATGGAAGTGCTACCAAAGAGTTCTCAATGTCTAGAGGACTCCGGCAAGGTGACCCACTATCCCCATTCCTATTCTTAATTGTGGCTGAAGCTTTGAATGGATTAATTGTA